CCTGGGATGTGGGGGCTCCTGCAACCATTTCCTGGGGAGAAGACTGAGTCCTTAGAGAGCCAGCATGCCCAGCCTCACGGCTCCGGGGGCTGACAGGGCTCCAGGCCACACCTGCTCAGCTCCGCCCTCCTAAGTCCCTCAGAGGAGCCTCAGGCAGGACCTGGGACCTCCGTGAAGGTCAAGGTGACCCCAGCCTGTGCTCTGTGTCCAGAGGTGGCTGCTTGAGTCCCAGACTGGGCCTGAGGATGGGGGAGGCAGCCTTGTGTTCTTACTGGACAGCGAGGACCAGCTCTGCAACCGGGGATGCTCGGCACAGGCAGCGAGGACCAGCTCCGAGCCCAGGCCTGCTGGGCCAGCACGGAGGGAAGTCACCTCCAGGCAGCCCAGGGGGTGCTGCCTTCACTCCTGCTGTCCAGCGTGGCCCAGCTTGGAGTAGCCTTGGTAAGCTCTCCCTGCCACTGGACCGCACGCCAGCCAGGGCCCTGGCACAGCCCCTCCCCCACAAAGCCTCCCAGAGGTCACGTGGCTGAACACCATGGACACCCCGGCTGACCCTTCCCCTCGGCCCCGGGGCAGCCGGGCACCTGTGCTTTTGCAGCCTTGGGCACAGAGGCACCGTGCCTCTTTGCACAGGCAGGAAGCCAGGCAACAATTGGAAGGGCTCTGCACACCAGGTCACTGCACGATGATATGCTAGGCCAGCACTGTGGTACAGCAGGTGAAGCCTCTGCCTGTGACACCAGCATCCCATGGGGTGCTGGTTTGAGTCCCGGCTGCTCCACTTTCAATCCAGCTCCCTGCTAACACACCCAGGGAAAACAGTGGAAGAAGAGTGAACCAAGGAACAGAAGCTCTCTCTGTAACTCTGACTTAAAATAAAGAATTCTCTTTTTTTAAGATCTGTTCATTTTAATTGGAAAGGCAGATATACACAGAGGAGGAGAGACAGAGAAGATCTTCCGTCCATCAGTTCACTCCCCACGCAGCTGCCACGGCTGGAGCTGAGTCAGTCCAAAGCCAGGAGTCAGGAGCCTCTTCAGGGTCTCCCACATGGGTGCAGGGTCCCAAGGCTTTGGACCATCCTCAACTGCTTTCCCAGGCCACAAGCAGGGAGCTGGACGGGAAGCAGGGCTGCTGGGATTAGAACCAGCGCACATATGGGTTCCTGACGCGTGCAAGGCAGGACTTTAGCTGCTAGGCTACGAGAAATCTTTCCTTTAAAAAAAGAAAATACATCGTTGCAGATGCAGAACACAGCTGCAAGTGGAAATGAACAAGCGAGGTGGGCCTGCCAGCATGGGGGGCCAGGCGCCAGCTCCGTACACCCAGCAGAGACCCCCACAGAGACCGGCCCAGCAGAGACCCCCACAGGTTGTCTCAGACAGTAATGGGCAAGTCGGGGTGCCCAGGGCACAGCGGGGGTAGGAGGTGGCAAGACACGTGCAGCTTCTCGCCTTGGCAGGCAGCAGCCCAGGGAGGGGTGTGCACACAAACCCAGCAGCCTGCTCCTCTCGGGGCCAGGGCCCGCCGCTGGGGCACTGCCACAAGTCCCTATCCTGGGTCTGGGAGAGCCCTCCTCCACTTTGGACACCTGCGGGTGGGGGTCGCCACCTTCCCCAGCGGAGGCCTTGAGAGTCAGTGTACGGCAGGTGTCACAGCGGGGTGGCAGCTCTCCGCGGTCCCATCCCGCAGCCTTCCCCAGGGCGTCTCTTTCCCCTTGGAGACCTTGTGGCCCGGGGTGAGGTGGTCCCTCAGACTCCAGTGAGGTCCCAGGAGAGGGGCTGGGTGTGCAGGGGGCACACGACCTGCTCTGTCGCAGGATTGTCAGGGCGGACCTACCCAGGGCTCAACGGGCTGCTTCTGGGGGGAAGCTGGGGTGTCCACCCACTCTGTCACCCCTCCTCTCTGCACCTGCACAGCTCCGGGAATGTGTGCAAACAGGTCCTGGAGTTCTTGGAGTTGACCTTGGCAGCTGGGTCTGGATGGCAGGGATAAGCCAGTGAACGCCCAGGCTCAGGCATCTCTGACACTGGTGCCCTGCACCCCTGCCCTGCTCCAGGCACCGGGCAGCCCTGGCTTCTATAAAGCCTGTGGCACACATGTGGCCAGAGCCCGTGACAGCTCTGGAGAGTCCCCTGTCATGAGCAGGCCAGGACTCCCCAAGGGTGGGAGATTGGAGAGAGTGGCCGAGTGTCCTGTGACAAATGGGTACGTGTGTGGCTCAGAGCAGCACTGTGTGGAAGTGGGTTAGTCCTCTGCCTGCAGCATCAGCACCCCATGTTCAAGTCCCGGCTGCTCCACTTCCTGCACCTGAGGAGCGGTGGTAGATGGCCCCTGTGTACAGGTCCGCACCTCGTGGGCACTCGGGCCTGGCCCGGCCCCTAGTCCGCACCTCGTGGGCGCTCTGGCCTGGCCCGGCCCCTAGTCCGCACCTCGTGGGCGCTCGGGCCTGGCCCGGCCCCTAGTCCGCACCTCATGGGTGCTCTGGCCTAGCCCGGCCCCTGTGACCATTTGGAGAATCAACTAGATGGACATGCTCTCTGTTCTCTTTCTGTAACTGCCTTTAACATAAATACATTAATCTTCAGTTGAAAGGAACAGCACACACCATGCAGTTCTCGCTTGGAACCCTGAAGTTTAAAATCAGTGTTCAGGCCAAGGTCAAGGGTCCTGGCAGAGCTCTCAGGGTGAGGGGGAACCCACCCCTGGGCTTTCTCAGTTTCCGGAGTCAGCTGCGCGCTCGCCACCCCCAACCCACAGTCAAGTGCCTCGACCTGGCCCTCCCGTGCATCTGAGGACATGCGTCACAGCCGAGGGCCTCGGGGACAGCCCAGGGCGCCCCTGTGGGACCCAGGGCGCCCCTGTGGGATCCAGGGAACCCCTGTGGGACCCAGGGCACCCCTGTGGGATCCAGGGCACCCCTGTGGGATCCAGGGAACCCCTGTGGGATCCAGGGCGCCCCTGTGGGATCCAGGGCGCCCCCGTGGGACCCAGGGCGCCCCTGTGGGATCCAGGGCGCCCCTGTGGGATCCAGGGCGCCCCTGTGGGATCCAGGGCTTGAGCACCTTTTTCGAGATCCCTGGGCCATCTTAGGCAGCTTCCGGCCCCCTCCCCAACCCTCAGGGCTGGCCCGGCACTGCACGGAGCCAGCAGGGCGAGGGGAGCCTCCCAGGCCCTGAATGAATGAGTACAGCTAGGGAGGGTCCCAGCTGGAGTGGGGACTGGGCACAGCCGGGGCGCACAGCCGGGGCGCACCCCCACCCCGTGCACTGTGGCCCTCTTTGGTCACCGTCTCCTGAACCCTGCATCGTGGTGGCTCCAGCTCAGACTGGGGCCTCTGCCCCCACCCCGCCCCAGCTAGAGGAGGGGATGTTTTTTCCCATTGCAGCTGTGACCACAGCTGTTGGGCCCCGCCCAAGCCCCCTGGGGACCAGCCATGGGCCTGGAGTGACCTCAGGGCCTGTCCTTCCCCCTCCTCCCCCTCAGCACCAGGACTGGCACACAGGGCCTCGCCCAGGCTGGCAGGGCCAGAAGGGTGGCCAGGCACAGCCATGTTTACTGCCCCTGGCACCTGCATGGCTTGGCACAGCAGCGAGCCCAGCTCTGGATGTGCCAGGCCTGGGTTGCACAGCAGCTCCCACGGGAGCTTGCTGGCCCTGTGCAGCTGGGAACGGTCAGGGACAGGGCAGCTGGAGGCCACGGACCTGAAGGCTGCTTCCAGGCAAGGGAACCCGGGCCAGAGGCAGCTAGCAGACATCTGAACCAAGACCATTGCCTAGGCCTGCTGAGTCCTGGGCTCAGGAAGCCCCCCAGCTCATGAACGGGCCACCCCAGGCCAGAGTGAGGAGAGGCGGCAAGAGTCCTGGGAGGGGGTGACCAGGAGCAGGCCTTCCCAGCAGGGGCTCTGGCTACCACCGAATCCTGGGTTTGTCTCTCAGACCAACCCAATGCGTCCCTTGTAGAGGCCGGCAAACTGAGGCCCAAGAAGGGGATGTGACTTTACCTCCTGCTGGACATCTTGGGGGCACTTCGGGATGCCCAACGTGCTCTGCAGGGTGGTGTCGGGGGCTGCTCCAGTGCCAGTGCAAATTGAACTTGACCCAGACAGAAGCAGACGGGCACAGCCTCACCTCTGAGCGAATGGACGAAGGAGGAGTATCTAGTTTGTGACGACGGCACAGGGCCAGCCTGAGCAGCGGGGCTGGGGCCTGCTGGCCAGAGGCTGGGCAGGGGCAAGGATGGGCATGGAGCAGTGTGGGGGCGATTCCTCCTTGATGGGGCCATGTAGGAGTCGCGATGGCGCAGTCCAGAGCATCTGGCACTGTGTGGGGGCCCAGGTGCTGGTAAACTTTAATTTCCGTACAGTAGAGACACGTAGCCCAAAGCGGCGCCAGGGGACACGTTCACTGCGAAGCTCACAGACACACCTCAGCCCCTAGGCCACACTTCCAGGCAGGGGCGGGGCAGCCCAAGCCACGAGGTGGTGGGAGGCAGAGCAGCTCAGAGCATCCACACAGCTGCCCAGCTCACCTGGGGAGGCGGCCGGTGGCCTTCGTGGGGTGGGGGGTGTCAGCCCTGCCTCTCCCTGCTGGCTTCCTGCAGTACGGGGTGGAGGTGGGGTGCGGGGGCAGGGAGTCCCTCATGGTCGGGGCAGGGCTTGGCTCAGCAGCCAGGGGACAGTCACTTAGCACCTGCTTGATCCACTCCAGGGACACCCGGGGGCAGGGCGGGCAGCCCCTGTCACATATGGTGGGCACAGCCTGGGGAGGGGCAGGGGGGCCATGTCGGGGCAGTGGGCAGCTGGGCGGGCTGGGTGAGGGGATGGCGGAGGTGGAGGTGGGACTCTTTGTGCACATTCCTGGGAACTGACCTCAGGAGCACCTGTCCGGGTGGGGGGAGGGGACACCCGGCTCCCTGTGGGATCCCGGAGACTGACAGCGGGGGCCCCACGCGGAGCTGGCGCTTGCTGCAGGCCCCGTTGGGCGCGGCTAGCAGTGCTTGGTCCTCGGTCTGCCCGCCTGGCGCGGCTCACACGACCACCTCGGGCATGATGCTGAAGAGCAGGTCGTCGTTGCCCCGCCGCACCTCCAGCAGAAGAGGCGATTCATTGAGGACGGCCTCCTGCAGCTCACTGGAGTCTGACAGAAGGCGCCCGTTGACCTTGACAATGACGTCACCCACCTGGATGCCTCCTCTGCCAAGGGATGGACAAGCAAGGTCACTGGGGTGAGCTGCACTGGGACGAGCAGGCTAGGACTCCGGGCTGCAGGTGTGCAGGGCCCGTGCTCATGGTTACTCCCCAGCTTGGCTGGGGCCTGGTGCGGGAGGACGGGCGTGTTCCAGAAGGCCACGTGGGTCCCCCTTCCTGCACAGGGGTGTGCGGCTGCAGCCAGCGGCCTCCTGAGCTTCTCCACTCTGCCCTGGCACTGTACCACCACCTGCAGTTCCCGAGCCTGGTGGCAAGCCGGGCACGGGTGGCAGAACTACCTGCCAAGAGCCTTGAGGGGCTGGATTCTGGGCACAGGCAAAGCGCAGAGAACACGGTGGCACCCCTGCCCCTCCCAGAAATGTCAGCCACAGGAGGCCCGCAGAGCCAGCCCAGCCCCAGCATGGCCCCGGCTCCCTGCCTCCCGCAGAGCCTACCTCTGGCTTGGAGAGTTGGGGACGACCTCCTGCACGTAGATGCCACTGCTGACGGCCGGGAAGTCGGGATTGGCGCCCTTCAGCTCCTCCACCAGGCTGGGGGCAGGAGGCAGCTGGTCAGGGGGCGGACTCCAGCCTGGCCCCTAGCACCAAGCAGCCCCCGCCCCCAGGGCCAGGGCACTCAGTGTGGGGCGGGGAGGGAGGTCAGGAGGTGGGGACGGCTGGAGGGTGGTTGGTGGGAAGGAGGAACGGCAGATGGCTGACGGCACGGAGGGGATGGGACGGACAATGGCCGAGTCATGGAATGAATGCCAGAGACTGGACAGATGGACTCACGGTGGATAGGTAGATGGATGGGTTAAGAACAAACACGTCCAACAATAAATTGACACATCAGTCTTGATTGGCAAGGTCTTCCCTTGGCTCCCAGTGCAGCTCCCTGCTCACACCTGCTTCTGCGCCCCACTCCTTCCCTCCCCTCCCGTCTCCTCCCTTCTCTCCCCTTCCCTCCCCTCCCGTCTCCTCCCTTCTCTCCCCTTCCCTCCCCTCCCTTTGCTCCTCTCCTCTCCCCTCCCCTCCCCTCCCACCTTCTCCCACCCACCCCTCTTCACCACACGCATTCAGGGCTTCCAGGTGTCGGCTGGCATCAGACCTGGCATTAGCAGCCAAGCCACAGGCTTAGCAGGCAGAACCCTGCCCCCAGCGAGCTCACAGCAGGTGGGGGCGGGGTGGGGTGGTCTCAGCAGTGCAGTGGTAGGGTGGCAGCCAGGGGTGGGCCCGCAGAGAGGACACCCAGAGGGCCCCCGTGTTCGGGCACACCCAGTGCCCCGGGACGCAGCCTTATTTGGAATCAGATCTCTGTTTGTGTAAAGATCTGGAGACTGGCTTTGGGGGGCCCAGTGTCCAGGGGCTGCTGCGATGATGGGACAGGACAGGGTGGGCCCGGAACAGGTGCACAAAGGGCAGGCATGCGGGGACAGAGGCAGAGGCTAGGGTGACATGGCCACAACCTCAGGGTCACCCAGAGCTGCCCAGGGTGACCCTGCTATGCCCTGCTGTCAGACTCTGGCCTGCGGAGCTGTGGGAAGTCTCAGTGGCTTGTCGTGGTCAGGGCAGCCTTCAGAGACTAATCCAGGAAGCTTCCTGGAAGAGGTGACACTGGGACAGGGTACCTGGTGAGCCAGAGAATCGTGCCAGGCACACAGAGAGAGGCCTAGGCCATGGTCAGTGGCTCCCAGCCTGAGAGCAGCCCTGAGGAGCCCAGCCTGGCAGGGCCAGGATGTTGGGGATGGCAGTGGTGGAGGGATTGGGCCAGCAGGGGCCAGTGGAGGCCAGCAGGGGCCAGCAGGGGCCAGCAGGACCAGCAGGGGTCAGCAGCATTAGCAGGGCCAATGGAGGCCAGCAGGGCCAGCGGGGGCCAGCAGAGGCCAGTGGGGGGCCAGCGAGGGCCAGCAGGGGCCAGCGGGGGCCAGGAGAAGCCAGCGGGGGTCAGCAGAGGCCAGCAGGGGCCAGCGGGGGCCAGCAGGGGCTGCCTCCACAGTCACCTGGGGGTGATGGTTCGCATCCGGAGGCCAATGAAGCGCTTCTTCCAGTCTGCAAGGGAAGCACAGCAGGGCACGCTCAGGGCCAGCACGGAAGCGGCCAGCCCTGAGAAGATGTGGACAGGACTGGGACCCCCGCCCCCGGCCGGGCAGGATCAGAAAGCAGCAGTAGCCCCCAGCTTCCCCGTGCACTGCTGGCTCCAAGCTGCCTCTTCCCAAGTCTCTGGAACCAGTCCCCAACCCCACAGCAGGCCAGCATCTGTTCCCCAAGCTGCACACCTCACCCGGAGGGGGGGAGACGGCCGATGCCCCAGAACCCACGCCCTGGTCCGCCTCCCCCGACCCGCGGCAGCACCGATCACAGCTGTTGGACGGGGAGTGTTGGAGGCCTGGCCCTGAGTCACAGGCAGAAACCAATCCAGGAAGCTTCCCGGAAGAGGCGGCACTGGGACAGCAAACCAAGGATGCTGCTGTGCACTTCAGTCTCGGGACAGACAGTCGCAGAAAGCTCGACATGAGAGTGCGGCTCGGCAGAACAGGGAACGGGACGTGGCGGCACGGCCCGGCGGGACAGGAAGGGGCTCTCTGGGCCCAGGCAAGATGCTGCCATCACCACCAGCAAGGAGACGGGACTCCACGGAGCCCCAGATGGCCCGGGGTGAAGGAGGAGGCCGGGCACGAGGAGCGGGTGGGACGAGCAGGCTCCCTTCTGAAGACCAGGACACTCAGGGTCACCAAACGGTCCCATGGCAGCTTCGCCCACAAATACCATCTGGGGTCCCCAGGGTCTTCCAGGGCACTCGCACCGATTGTCACAGCAAGGAATGCCACCAACGCCACAGAAAGCGCTCCAGAAGTGGGAAATCCTACAGCCACCTCCCACACCTCCTCTTGCTACCCGCAGCCCAGAACGCAGACCCGCAGGCCTCGCGCACACGGCGCAGGCGCACTGGGTGTTTCAGGGCACAGGTGCTCCGATGCCACCTGAGAGGCCCACATCCCAACGGGAGGGCCTGGACCGCCCCCAGCTGCCGAGCAGGCAGGGAGCCGCTGGTGGGAGGCCAGGCTGGCTCGGCTCCGGCTGCAGTCTGTCCCACCCTGGGGACTGCGCGTGTTTATGGAGTGAGCCAGTGGGTGGGAGCACCCTCATTTTCTGTGTCTCAAATAAAATAAACATTCAATTTTAAAAATAAACCCAATGAAATTTGCTACAGAGATCCAAGGAGGCATCCTTGCCTCGGAGGATGCCCAGAAAGCCGCAGACACAAGGGAACTTCCATGCCTGATGCAAAGCAGACACGGAAGGGAACTTCCACAGCCCGAAACACACGCACGCCGGCCCCGTGGCCCACCCCGCCACTGGCAGCGTGGCCGGGAGGCCCACCCCGCCACTGGCATGCACCACTCCAGAGAGTTCCAGCCGGTGGGAAAGGAAAGATGTCACGCTGGGAAGGAACGCACAGCCATCCACACTGGACCCAGCCAGGGACCCTGTCCACAGGCCACCAGAGGGGCCGGCAACACACCCACTGCACCGGCTAGAGAGATCACAAAACAGACCCTCGCATCACAGCCCACAAGGACCAGGGCACGTGGCTGACGGAGACGCTCGGCCCTGCATCTTGACACCAGTAAGGCATTGTAGCGAGAAGTTAAAGAAGAAAGACTCCTGCCTTGCAAGTCAGTAAGAGACATCACTAAATGGCCAACATGGCAAGGAGGAGAAGGGAGAGGAGGGGAGAGGAGGGGAGAGAGAGGAAGAAAGGGGAGAGGAGGGGAGAGGGGAGGAGGGGAGAGGGAAGGAGGGGAGAGGGGAGGAGGGGAGAGAGGAGGGGAGGCGGGCAGCAGTGTCAACAAGGCTTTCTTAGCTCTGGCACCAAACGCACAGCTCATAGAAGCGATGAGATTTCAGCAGCACTTCACGTGTCCCCACTGGGGGCAAGTGTCCAGCGTGATGGTTGTCACAGGATGACTGCACCCCAGGTGGGGGTGGTCCCTGGCTGGAGACCTGGTCCTGCCCCTGAGCCCAGCTCCCCCAGCTCCCGCACCCCCAGGAGGGAGTGTCTGGGTGCCCGTCACCCCCACAGAAGTCCACATCATGTTTCTAAAGAGAACACCAACCACCCGAGTTTTCCAAGTGGACAAAATATTTCGCACACACTTCATCAAAGTTTGATGGGCAGCAGGTGTGTCCCAGGCAGGGCTGGAGTGGGTGGGAGGCAAGACCCCTGGGTGTGGCAGATGCTGGGAAGTCTTCAGCTTAGGGAGGGCCCCTCTGGCTGTAGGAGGGTCTGTGGGGCGGGGTCAGGGAGCGAGTCCCCTGGTGGCCCTGGCCAGGGGCGAGATGGAGCTGCCATGGTGGTCAGCATTGGTGCATGCTAAAGGCAAGGTCAGGGGTCATCCCATGAGCAGGTACATGGGCTGAGAGCTGGCAAGCAGGGACCAGATCGGAGGTGTATGCCTGGGCTGTGCGATGAAGGGTGTGCCACTCTGCAGCTGGCATCCAGTCCCCGAGGCTGGAGCCCGGCCAAGCTGCTCCCTGATCACCATGGCTCTGCAGCTTCCCGTGCCTTCAAGAAGCAGCTGCAGGCAAAGCCACCTCCAGGGTAGAGAGCAGCTTGGGCTCCTCGAGGGCTGGGCTGTCTGTGGGAGCTGGTATGGAGGGGGTACAGGCAGTGTGGGCCCACTTCAGCCATCAGAACCTGCTCCGGCCTGCACCCAATAGATGATGGTCCCAGTGCCTGGCACCTAGCATGCAGAGCTCAACCAAGGCTGCAGGGGATGGGGGCAGGGAGGAGAGAGGTGGGCAGACCAGGGGTCTAACCCGCCAGCGCCGCAGGCAGACCCGGCCTGTAGTGTGGTAGCGCCAGGGGAGGGGTGATCACATGTGGGTCCTGGGGTCCGGGGACAGGAACAAGGCCTGAGGGGGTCACACCAAATGCCCCCGAACAAAACACCATTTTAAAAACTCGCTACACTCTGGGGTCCCACACACAGCACGCTTGGAGTCTGGTGTCCAACTTCGCCAACTTCGCCCCCAACCACATCACAGGTCATCGCCTTCAGCCCTCCTCAGCACAGACGCCACGCACCCATAGCTCACCCCGCTGCCCCCCGCTGCCCGGCCAGGCCACCGAGAGCACGTGGGAGCCAGGCGTGTCTCCACTCCCCCCGCCCCGCCTCAGCACTGGCCAGTCACGGGGTGCCGAGACCACCGTGACCCCCCCAAGACAGAGAATAAGCATTTGCTACCCCCCAGCCCTGCAGTTTCTTCCCGGCTGCCTGCAGATCGCAAGACACCCCCGACTGACCCCTGCTGGTCACGGGGTCTCGCACTGGCCAGGCCAGAGGAACAGCTGCCCTCGGCTCCTGGGGCCGCCCCACTGCACGTGCACCAGTCCTAAGGCTGGATGAGCCCCAAGCCCTCCCGGGGCCAGCTGCTCTGTCGGGATGCAGCCGCTGCAGGAGAGCACAAGAACCGAGGCTGGGAGCAGCCCAGACCAGGCCAGGTTACAGTCCCATGGCATATTTGTGGCTCAGGTCTGGCGGCATGTAGGGCCAGGCCAGTTCACAGCACCAACTGGCAGAAGTGAGCCCCAGGATGGGATGTGGGACAGTCAGGGTCGGGCCACAACACCAGCCGGTTCACATTAGGGTGGGGACTGGGGGCTGCCCACGCAGGGCTAGACTGCAGCACGAGCCAGCATGACCTGGGACTGGGAGCAGGCTGGGCCAAGCTAGGTTACAGACCTGCTGGCAAATGGCAAGGTGAGGCGGGCCATGCCAGACGAGGCTGCAGCACCCACTTGCACACCTAAGACCCCAGAGGGGGTTGCCAAGGCTCTCCTGCTGGGCCACTGTTCCCACTGCCTGAGAACTTGGGCTGGAAGCAGACTAGGCCAGGCAGGGCTCCAACACCTGTCAGCTTACACGTGAGCTGGGCCAGGGGAGAGCCAGGCTGGGCTAAGTGAGCTCATTCATGTAGCAACCAGAATAAGTGCAGGCTGGTTGGGCTGTGCCACAGCCTCAGCTGGCAGGTGCTGGGCTGGGGCAAGTCCTGTCATTAGACTGTAGAGCCACCTGAAAAGCACAAGGTTAGGACTGGGAGTGGGCCCTGTAGGGAGACTGTGACACCCTTCTGATGGGCTGCCTGTCCAGGCTGGGCTAGGCCACAGCACCACCAGCATGAGCTGGGACTTCTGACAGGTGAGCATAAGAACCAGGCCTGGCAGGCCTGGCTGCAGAGGTGGTAGTACCCGCAGGCATGAGTGTGAGCTGGATAGAAGGGTCGGCTAGGCTGAGCTAGGCTATAATGTCCGCTGATATGTACAAGAGCTAAATGGGACGTGGGACCAACTGGACAAGTCTGCTGACATACAGGCATGCACATGAAGGCTGGGACGGGCCAGGTGGGAGTTTTTGGGGTTACCCAGACTAGGCTGCAGTTCCTGCTGGCGTGTATGAGGTCCGAGCGTGAGGTGGGCAGGGTTAGACTGGGCCGCAGCATGCACTGGCGTGCATATGAGATGGGGCTGGAGACAGAACTGACTAGACAACTGCAACTGCTGGTGTGCGTGCAGGTTGAAGTGGGGGACAGGCTGAGCCAAGAGTGGGGCTCCCCCAGCTGGACTGAGTCTCAAAACGCCAACCAATCACAGGAGCTGTGCGCTGACCGTGGGATACATGGGTCACAACTGGGCCTGCTCGGGTGCTGGAGCCTGTGCGGTGGACGGCACGCCCAGAAGCACATCGGGACATGACAGCCAGTTCATCGAGGCCTGCAGAGGACGTCCAGGACCACGGAGGGCAGGACAAACTGCACAGCTCTCCCAGTGAAGTTTTGACAGCGAGTATCTGGGGGAGCAGAGACCCTAAGGTGGACTGTGTCAGCCAGTGGGCCTTGGGAGGACTTCCCCAAGCTTGGAACAACAAAATCAACACCTCAGAACTGCTGAACCTGCTTGGGCAGTGCCCTCGGAACAGGCTCCACACTGGGGACCCTGCAGTGACACTGAGTGGCCGGCCCACATCCCGGGTACCGATGCGGTTGGGCTGCTGGGAGCAGCTCTCTCTTGCTCTCTTTTCCCTTCCTCCAGTACAGGAAGAAAACAACAATTACAAAACACCAAAGTGGGGCCCAGCATGGGGCTGCAGCTCTCCTGGCCCAGGCCCATGGTGACCTTGACCCCGCGAGCTCCCCACAGCTATCTAACCATCACACAGACTGCTGGCTGTAAACAACTGTAGATTAGCGGGGTTTGGACCACTTGATAATTTTTATTAAAAAAAAAATCAGGAGCCAACTTCCACACTCGGTACATGATGGATCCTGTCCTGCTACGATGCACTGTGAGGCCACACAGCCCCGGGCGCAGGGGAGTCCCTGTGCAAGGCAGCGAGGTCCTGGCCACACCCCAGCGCCCGCACAGCTGTGCAGATTTCCAAGGGATGGCACAGGGTAGAGACGCTCAGAGACCCAGGGAGAGCCCAACCTGGACGCACGGTCAGCAGGGGAGGGACCGGCACCACGCTGGGCTCGAGGTGCAGCAGTTTTGAGCTTCCTAGCAGCCGAGAAGAAGAGGACTCAGGATGCTACTGCACACTCCCCCCGGGGCAACACAGGATGGAACCCTTTGGCTTCTGTGCCGACGGCAGGTCCTGCCTGGCTGCGGCTTGTCCCAATTCTGGGGACATGGAGAACAGATGGGGTTCCTCCAGAGCAGCTCTTCATACGACCGGTCCTCGGGGTACCCGTCCTGGCAGCACGGGGGTGGGGGGTGGCAGGCTTGGCTGGCGGGGTCATGAAGAAGGGGCAGGCACAGGGAGCGCCTGCTCTCAGTGTAGTGTTGGTGAGGGGGCTGGGAGGAGATGAGAGGCAAGAGAAGGTGTGAACAGCCCGGAGATGCGCGGAGGGCAGGCTCTGGGCAGGGGCGGCTGCGGGCCCCTCCGGGAGGTGGCTGCCTTGGGCACACCTCTCCCAGCCATACATGGCCATCAGTGGTTGGCAGGTAGGCCAGGCACCCAGCTTGGATGAGGTCAGGAGAGGGAAGCTGAGCTGGGGTCTTGCCACAAATCAGGGTGGCCTTGGGTTCTGCTTCCCCTGGAATGGACAACACCCCCCAGGAAGCCTGGATGGCCCAGTGGCAGAAAGAGGGGGTGCATGGGGGATGGAAGGATGGAGGGATAGAGGAAGAAAAAGGAAGTAGAAGAAAGGGTGGATGGATGGATGGATGGATGGGTGGGTGGATGGATGGGTGGATGGGTGGGTTGGTGGGTGGATGGATGGATGGGTGAGTGGATGGATGGGTGGATGGGTGGGTTGGTGGGTAGATGGATGGGTGGATGGATGGATGGGTAGGTGGATGGATGGGTGGGTGGTGGGATGGATGGGTGGATGGGTGGGTTGGTGGGATGGATGGATGGGTGGATGGGTGGATGGATGGATGGATGGATGGATGGATGGGTGGGTGGGTGGATGGGTGGGTGGATGGATGGATGAGTGGGTGGGTGGGTGGACGGATGGGTGGGTGGACGGGTGGGTGGATGGATGGATGGGTGGGTGGATGGATGGATGGGTGGATGGGTAGATGGATGGATGGGTGGATGGGTGGGTTGGTGGGATGGATGGATGGGTGGGTGGATGGATGGGTGGATGGGTGGGTGGATGGATGGGTGGATGGGTGGGTGGATGGATGGGTGGATGGGTGGGTGGATGGATGGGTGGGTGGATAGATGGATGGATGAGTGGGTGGGTGGATGGATGGGTGGGTGGATGGGTGGATGGGTGGATGGGTGGGTGGATGGGTGGATAGGTAAGGGATGAGGGATGTGGAGAGGATGGCTTTGGAAGGAAGAAAGAGTGTCAGATTGTGAGCACTGGGGAGCATGTCGGAAGCGCCCCAGTGTGATGGCCAAGACCACAGGAAGGAAGCAGTGGGAACGAGCCCGGCCAGGAGCTGAGGAGGCGTCGAGGCATGGAGAGCTGAGAGGCTGACAGTGGCTCTCCTGGGGTCCCAGGGCCCGATTCAGGGGAGCGTAAGTCTGGCACTGTACCTGCAGTTGAGCCTGGCCCGAGGCTGGGAGGCAAGACCCCGACCCTGGAGTGCCCCTCCCAGCTGCCTGCCCTCTGGGCCGGCCCCGTACCTTTGGCCTGCTTGTCTTGGAACTCGGCCAGGAAGCGCGTGATACGGTCCGAGGGGATGGCAAAGGAGATGCCAGCCGCCACCTTGAGCGTGTTGATGCCGATCACTTCCCCATCCTGGAGGGTGAACACAGCGCTGCGATGCGGGCAGGGCTGGGCCAGCACCATCTGCCACCCACCAGGCCAGCCTTGAGGCCAGGGAGCAAGTATTCTCTGGTTCCCACAGTGGCCAATGACCGATTCTTGGCCTCTGCGTTCTGCGGGCTCCCCTCCTGCCCACGCTGCAGCGCAGGGTCCCCCAGCTCACATGCCAACGGGCCGGCACACAGAGTACCATGTGCCCAGGCCCACAGGGACCCCAACTGAACCCACTCTACGCTGGCTCATCCCAGTCAGCCCACCTGGCTGGAGCAGAGTCCTGGATCCGGGCAACCTAGAGCCTGGTCCTGGGTGCTCGCGAGGATCCCGTGGACCAAGATCCGTCCCCGTGGCCTGGCTTCCAGCCTCAGCTCTACCCAGGCAAGCATCCCCCAGCCCCAGGGCCCACCTATGGCCACACAGAAGTGCCCAAGGGGCAGGAGGCAGCCCCAGCCCCGGCCCAGCCAGTCAGCTCCGCTAGCCCAGTTGCCTGAGCCCCTGGGGTCTCTGCATGTCTCCCCATGCACCACAGCCTCCTTCACCACAGTGTGCTAATGCCACCTCCTCCAGGAAGCCTCTCTGGAGTGCATGCTAGCTGCAAAGCCAGAGCAACACAGGGTGCTCCCAGCCCCCGGGGCTCATCCACACGTGGCCACCTCATCTCCACGACTGGTGACCTGCTCTCACACCCCAGGAACCAGGAGCTCTGAAGGGCAAAATCTTTCCCAAAATGAGACGGACCCAACTCTGGGGCTGTGAACAGGCCCAGGCAGGGGAGCAGAGTAACAGGACCCCTCACAGAGACCCTGACCCCAGGCTGTCTTCCCCCGGATAGTGGGCAAGGCCACCAGTGCTCTGAGTGGCCTGGGTGCTTCCTGGGTCCTGTCCTCCAATCTGGCCATGACCTGACCAAGCAGTGTGCCGCTCCCCACCCCTGCAGGGTTGTACCCTGCTCCCAGTGTGAGCAGAGCCCCAGGGGGTCCAAGGCTCGGTCCGGAGGGAGGGACACTTACCAGGTTCACCAGGGGTCCCCCGGAGTTCCCGTACTACGGGGGGGAGAGAGCAGGGTGTGAGCTGGGACCCTATTGTGCCGTCCCACCCACCCCTCACTCCACCCAGTGTTTGCAGAGGCACTGAAGGGCTTTGGTGCACAGTGCCCACCTCACAAATGGGAACACTGAGGTACACATGAAGATGACCGAGGGCCGGGTCAGAGCTGCCAGCACTCTGAGCAAGCCAGCGCCTGGACAATGCCACCAGCTGGTGCCTTGTAGCAGACTGGGACAAGGCCGGATGGGGTACTGGCCTGGGGCACCCGGGCAGGGGGACTACTAGGGGACTGGCTGCACAGAACATGGACCTGGCCACAGGCATTTCCCGCACCGTGGCTGGGCTGGGCAGCCGGCTCAGCCGCCCAGGACGAGGCTGAGCGGGCAGGGCGGCCGTGCGGCCCGGGGCACGGGGACTCACGTTAATGATGGCGTCTGTCTGGATGTAGTCCATGTCCGAGTCGCGCAGGCCCAGTTCGCGGCTGCCCCGCTGGGCGGAGCTCACGATGCCCGTGGTCACCGTGTTCTGCAGGGCAAAGGGGCTGCCGACAGCCACCACGAACTCGCCGGGCCGCAGGTCGGCCGACTGGCCCAGCAGCAGCACCGGCAGCTTTTCCTGGGGCGAACATGGGGTGGCGGGGGAGTGGAGAATGAGTTCAGCGTCTGCCACCTGCTTGGCCCCCACTGTGATGGGCAAGGAGGAGGGCCACACCCCTTTGTCTACTTCTGGAGCCCCTTCTATGCCCCTGTCTTCGGATATCACCTCACCCCATCACCCATTTGCGCCGACACATTGAAAGGTGGAACCCACCTTGGCGGGTGTGTGCTGGCCTGGGGGGCCTGGGTCTCTGTCCCCTTCGCTGTGGGAGAAGCCAGGCCACCAGCAATGTCTGGGACCCCCAAGAGGGGTGGGCTGTGTAGCAAGGTGGAGCCTCTCCCCTGTCCAGTCCAGGATACACACAGGCAGGTGTTCCCACAGCTGGACACGGTATCCAAGAGGTCACCAGTGCCCACTGGGGTAGCTGCTCCACTCCTCATCCGGAAGCGGAGACATGGCCCAAGCCCCCGACCCAGCTCTCCCTTCCCCAGCAGGTTCCTTGGAGGAGGTCTCCAACTGGTGGGCACTGGCTAAGCTGCTACCAGGGGTACCTGTGTCCCCAGCCGGAGTGTCCGGTCCCCACCATCCTCTCCAGCTCCCTGGGAGGCAGCAGGTGGCGGCTCACCTGGCTGAGTTCCTGCCACCCACATGGGGCACCCAGACTGAGTTTCCAGCTCCTAGCTGTGACCTGGCCTGGTCCTGGCCATTGTGGGCCCTTGGGGAGTGAAACCAGTGGAGGGGACCTCTCTCTGGGCTCTGCCTTTCCAATAAACGCAAATACTAAACCAGGAAAACCCAAAACAACCAGCCTCAAGCTGAAACTGCCCACAGCCACATGACACATCTGTCACGTTTGGTGCACCTGCTCCTGGAGCACCTGCCACCAGCCACACCTGCCCCTGGCACACTGCTGCCAGCACACCTGCCCCTGGCGCACTGCCGCCAGCCACACCTGCCCTTGGCACACTGCCGCCAGCACAGCACCTGCCACCAGCCACACCTGCCCCTGGCACACTGCCGCCAGCCACACCTGCCCCTGGCGCTCCTGCCCTGTTCTGGCCAAGCTACAGTCATGATGGAGACTGCAGGGCCTGCAGCCTGAGGTGCATGCCCCTCTTGCTACTCACACGACCCCCGCAGGTCCCCGGTTTCCATGCTGCACCCAGACCAGTGGTCTGTGGATGGGCACAGCAGGAAAGGTGCCGCCTGCTCTGTTTCCTCCCCTGTAATGGGCACGAGGGATGACGTGCCCACTAGCCAGGCTGCCCCCCTGCAGACAGGGTCTCTGCCAGGGGTGGTCCAGCCCTGTCCCAGGAGAAAGTCTGAACCCCTAAGCCGCAGGGAACCCTGCTGTGTGACCCCCTTCCAGCTGTCCTGAGCAGGGACTGACCCAAGGACATGCCTGAGCCCAGCAGGGCACTCAGCCCAGCAGGCAGTGCCCCCCATTCTGGGGCAGCTACCCACTACACCTGAACCTCAGATCTCTCACCTGAGACCACGAGAACAAGGCCCCACCACCTGGGGTGGCTGTGGCCAGTGCAGAGGAGTGTGCACGGCCGGAGAGGAGGAGGAGGCTCTGGTGGGGGTGATGGGGGATTCACCCAGCCTGGGCACAGCATCTCCAGGACAATGAGGGACCCCTCCTCCGCCCTGGTCCTGGTGCAGAGCAGGGGTTGCGGCCTCTGGCCTGTTGCCCTCAGGGCTCTGTCCCCTGCTGCGCCGTGGGAAGGCTGGCTGAGGCCTGGCATTGCGGCACGCGACACCGCCAGCCGCTCACCTTGGGGTGGATCTTGATGGTGGCGATGTCTGATTTTTTGTCCATGTCCTTGATGGTGGCCTCGTAGGAGTCCCCATTGTACAGCTGCACCTTGAGCTGCTGGCGGCCCGTGACAGCATTGCTGCTGGACACCACGTGGGCATTGGTGACAATCAGGCCGGCCTCGGACGTGATGAAGCCAGAGCCGCTGGACACGGGTCTGTTGCGGCCAAAGAGTGGGTGCCTGCGGGCAGCACAGCAGGTTTGAGTCCTGGCTCTGCCACCCGCTGCCTGGGTGTCAGCCAAGTCACTGAAACCACAGCCATTTCGCAGCCAGAGGGAGAGGGGCATGTTGGCACGCCTCCACCACGTCCCAGCACTCCTGGGACAAGTCCTGGCCCCACCTGCCCACCAGCGCCCTGGGCAGCTACCAGTGACGACCTGGGTGCCACAGTCACCTCTGACCTGAGCCTCTATCCACACCCCGGATGGACACCCCAACTGTCGCTGGGATTTGGGAAGTGCCTGGGGTGAGGGGATGAGGGGGTGGAGGCTGTTTCTCCACCTTTGGGTGTCTCTGTCTTTCAGATAATGAGGGAGACAGCTGACACAGCCCACCTGTGTCGCAGCAGGCCCGGCGCCCGCTATGGCCAACAACAGCACGGGAGGCCCACGGGCCGGGATCCTAATCTTCCATGAGCTCCCTGACCTGGCCTCGGACGAGCTGTTCAAGTCCTCGGGAAACAGGCTCTCAGTAAGGGAATGCCAACGCTGCTGCCAGGGCAGGGGGAGGCAGGGAGGCCGGATGCAGTTCCCGACCTTCTCCCGGGCAGGGGGCCAGCCCAGCCTGGCATTCACAGGACATTAAGAAGGAAATGCTGGTGACGGCAGCGCGGCCACCGAGTCCAGGATCGGGTTATTGGATGTTGAAGGCCTCGTCCTACCAGCAGGTGCTGCGGGTCGGAAGAGGCGCCCAGCTCGGGCCCGGGGGCTTCAGTGAGAAGACTTTCCATGTAGGACAGTTCAGAGGTGCTCCAGCTGGACTCAGGGACCTGGGCAGAAGCCCCAGGGGAGCAGGGGGGCGGCGGCAGGCTGAACACGCCCACAGCACCGAGGAACCCCCAGCAGCCAGGTAGGCGGTAGGGTCCCCTCCATGTGGGGCCTGCAGGTGCTAGACCATCCCAAGGTCTCTAGCCCTCAGCCTCTGCTGTGCAGGAGGGGAAACTGAGGCAGGAATGACTTGCCTAGGATGGGCAGGAGGCCCCGGGTGCCTGGCCCTCTCACGGCTGCAGCCTGGGCCAGAGGGCGCAGTGAGAGGCCCCTGGCTCAATGCGATGCACATCTCGTCTGCCTCGGCCCACACAACACCCACCTCCAAGGCTGAGCCCGTCATTAGCTGGCTCTGGGCCGGTGCCCAGGGCCCCCGGTCAGGCTGGCCACCTGCCACTTACCCTGTGAGCTGGTAATTTCCTCAATGACAGGTCTGGGGGTCTGGGCCCCGGGGGCAGGGTGGTGAGGGGTGAGTGTGGGGGGAGGGGTCATGCCCAGGCTAGCTCAGTGCCCTGTGGGTCTGGGGGTGCTTCTCCGGTCTCTGTGTTCCCATTCAGGACATTAGAAGCTCACAGCCAGCTCCTGGGTTCCAGGAGGAGGCAGGAAAGAAGCTAATGCAAAGGACTTGGCACACGGCAAGACCTGGGGACCCGGCAGGTGCACCCACACGAGCCCTGGCTCTCTCCTGTGGGAGACGGAGAGAACTGGGACACATAGGGCCAGGACCCACGGACCCAGCACCAGGCTGGCTGCAGGGGTGTGGCTCACCACCCCCTTACCCCCACCCTGAGGAGTCCCTGAGCCAGTGGCTGCCTGCTGATCCCTATCAGAGAGGGGCCCCGTCTCTGCCGGCAGCCTGTGCCTCCCTGGCTGCTGCAGGCTCCCGGCACACCCAGAGCCCAGGGCTGTGAGGGGCCTTGGCAGTAGGCACTGCCAAGGTCCCTTCCCCGAGGGTGAGAACTCATGTGGGTGGGAGGCATCAGGCCTCCCACGAGTGGCTAGTCTGAATGGGGCTAGACAAGCCTGTGACCCTGGCGAGGCAAGGGCAGAGGGCAGGGTGCCCGTGGGGGAGCAGGACAGGCTGGCATGGGAGACCACTGGCACAGCATAGTGTCCCCCAGGGAGACCTCCGCTCATCCCCTCGTGGCTGCACACCCCCCACCTTGCAGCTGTCCGCAGCCCTCAGCCAGGACTCCCAGGAGTCCCTCGGAACTCGGACCGCGTCGGTGCGAGTGAGGCCGGCCTGATCCCACAGCCCGCTGCCCTGTCCTCGGCCCCCGGGCTCAGCACGGGGGAGGGGGCCGTGGGCGCAGGGGGCTTCACTCACCTCAGGAAGAGCTCTATGTGCACCACGGCCGGGGCGATCTTCTCCACCACGTCAGCAATGAAGTTGAACTTGTACCGTGGGCTTGTCAGCTGGTGGAGACCTGCACTGGCAGAAGCAGCCGGTGTGTCCTCCACGCAGGGACCCTGGCCGCGTGCACGTCGGCCCCCCACCCCACCGGGACTCAGAGTGGGCAGGGCTGGAGCCGGTGGGAGGCGGCTCTGCACGTCGTGAGTGCCCGTTGTGGGTGCCCTTCCCAGGCTCACCCCTGTGGCCACCCACGCGTCCCGCCTGCCTGCCTGCCTGCCTGCCAGGCCTTGCACCCACTGGCGCTCCGCCGGCTAGCATTTCTGCTGCTGTCAGCTGCAGTGGCGCCCGCATGTGAGTGGCCCAAAGCCTCTAGCTTCCCCTGCAGGTCCCACAGGCACTGCTGCTGAGGGGCCTCCAGACATCGGGACCAGCCCCAGGCGCTGTGCATGGGCCCCGCGAGGAGAGGCCCCCATAGGTCAGACGGGCTCCTGCATACGCGGCCCCAGGGGACAACTGTCAGGGGGTCCCCACAGCCTGGACTGCCCCCGCCGCTCCTACTGCTCAAGACGACCTGCCGGCACAGTTTGGGGGGATTCTTGCGGTCTGCTGTGGGCCCGTGATACACCGGGAAACAGAATGAGCCTGTAGACCAGGAAGCAAGGCCTGAGGCCAGAGCCGGGCGGGGGGGGGGGGGGGGGGGCAGCTCCTGCATCCCAGCGGTGTCTCCAAAGACCCCCCCATGGCCCACCTCACACCCGGGGCCCTGACTCCTAGGCCGGGGGGCACACCTGCCTCCCCACACCCTACATCAGCCAGAACAGGGAAGGGCAGGGAAGGGCAGGGCAGCCAAAGATTGGGTTTCAGATGGGAGGACGGTGGGGCCATACACATGGGATACCTGCATGGGGCCCATTTCACAGCCCTGGACACTGAGACCCCCTGGGGGTCTGAGTAGGCCTCGGGGCCCTGCCTGGCCTGTCCCTTTAAGGCAGCCTGGGTGGGTGGTGTGGGTGGAGGGGGCAGGGGCCGGGTCCTCCCCCCGCCCCCCGCCGTGAGTCAGCGATGAGTCAGTGGGAAGGCACAGGGCTCTCTGCACACCAACACCCCAGCCGCCTTAGACTGCTTGTTTGGGGTTTGTGAGAAGCCCGCCCCCAGCCCGTCCCCCGGCCAAGTCGTGAAGTCAGCAGCCTGCCCCGGCTGCCCTGCAAGGGTTCACTGCGTGTTGTTGGTTTTGGTTTTTCAAAAAATAACCGTTCGACTCCAGGCCCTGGGAGCTTCCGGCAGGAGGAATGGACAGTGCAGCGGTCAAGGGCAGCTGTCCGATGGCACTCTTGGGGAGAGGGGCCGCGAAAGAAGCTACAAGAACAGAAGCTGGGCTCAGGGCTGCAGCTGGGCACCTCTGCCCGGGGGCAGCTGGCAGGAAGCTGATGAGGAAACGGAGGACGTTGTGGACAGGTGGCAGGCACAGACACCCACAGGGCTGCCTGGTACAGGCGCACAGGTTGCACAGTGCATTCTAGACAAAGGTGCCAGCGTGGCCAGCTTCCCCACAGGTGTGCAAAGGCACAGCTCGCCCTGTGTGTGTGAATGCCCTGGCATACACTGGATAGAACCAGTTCTGTCTTTCAAGGCCAAGGCCGCTGCCCCCTGCGATGAGCAGACCCGGCTGCTGCCCAGCAGCTGTGGGCTGGGCCAGAGGGGCCATCAACAGAGGGGCAGCCATGCCTGGAATGCCCGCAGCAACCCCTCTGGCCCTTTGAGGCCAGCACCCACAGGGGCCCCGTCTGGCCGCCTGCTGCCAGCGCTGGACCCAGGCCACCCTGGGGCTCCGAGCGTCTGACCTCAGTACATCCTGCCACGCGAGGCCCAGGCACGGGCCACAGCCAGGCCTGACCCACACCCTGCTCCCACACTATGCTGGCTCTCGGTCCGCGGGCCTGGCTGTGCAACCCTCCTGAGAGTCCTGGCCTGGGCTTGGGGCCAGCATGGTTCCTCCCCCTGTGCAATTCCACGCTGCCCTGGGCTGCGGCCAGCTCCTGGGAGGGTGAGGCATGGCCACCGGCAGGAAAGCCCCAGCCCTCCCTCTACGGGAAGCCCTCCCTGTCTGGCCAGGTCCCATCAGTTGAGCCTCTGGGCTTGGGACAAGGACCCAGCAGGCAGCATGAAGCCCCCGTGGGAGTGTCTGGCACACAGCACCGCCCGCTGGCGCCTTCTCTTCCTCAATTCCTCCTTCTCCGGCACAAAGTTCACTCATGTGGCCAACATGCATCTGCAGCTCTCGTGTCTGGTCACGCCACGCAGAGCAGGACATATAGAAGAGCAGGCCAGGCCTGCTCCATCTGCCATGCTCTGGCTGGGGCACCAGCACAGCTGTGCAGGTTGCGCACTGCATGCATGCAGCTGTGGCCTCTCCGGGCACTAGACAGGAATCATGGCTGCATTGCAGCCAGGGGCCTGTGGCCACAGGTTGTCTCCCTTCGCATACCCCACGCCCTGAGGCAGGATGGCCACTTCCCCACAGGGTTGGGGGCTGCCTGGTGCACGGCCACAGGACGGAGACTCGGGGCCAAGCTATTCCGCAGGAACACATGCAAACCGAAGTTTGGCCTGGGCTGGGAGCATGGCCCAAGGTGGCACCCCTACCCCAGTGCAACCCAGACAGGAGACAGGCAGTCAGGAGGGAGAGCTCAGGAAGGTCAGCCGGACCCCAAGCTCCCAGCTCCAGCTCTGCCGGGTCCCCCAGTTCCTCCTCAGCTGCCCTGCCCTGGCTCTCGGCTTAGGACTGCAATGGGGCTAGGCCGGGGACAGGGGCGTCCTCCTCTGGCCTGCTGGGTCCCCAGGGGATTAGCAATCAAAAGGTCTTAAATAAACACAACCAACAGACTTCAGCCGAACCTGCTGGGGTTGCACAACCAAGCTGGGAACGCGGCCTCCTCCTCCTCTCCCTCCTGCTGGCTGTCCTCGAGCCCTCCACAAGCCCATGCACCTGCTGATGAGGGCAAGAGGCTACAGGGTCTTGGGGCTCTGGCCGGAGCTGGGTGCAGACCCTGGCGAATCCCCACCCACCAGTCGGCCTAGCAGGGAAGTACCCGCCATTGGCCCGGCAGCCGGGCGCCCACGGGGCAGCTGGGTCTCGCCGGCAGCAGGGCGCACCTTGGGACATGGCGGAGGCACTGGGCACACGGCTGACATGGCTGACCGTTCCACCCTCCCCTGGTGGAGGCTTAACGATGACGGCTCCGCAGTTTGTGAAATAGGAAACGGAGCCACACTGAAGGCCCAGCTTTGTGGGGTGTGGGTTGAACTGCTGCCATCCGTGATAACACGCCTGGGAAAGCGGCAGAGAAGGAACCAAGCACTGGGACCCTGCACCCATGGGAGACCGGGAAGCAGCCCCTGGCTGTCAGAGACGCTTGGGGCCAGGACCAGCAGATGCAAGTTCTCTCCCTTTCTCTCCCACTCTAATTCTGCCTTCCAAATAAGGAAAATTAGTCCTCAAAGAAATAAAGCTAAATTTACTTCGGTGAAAATTTTATGAACTACCAACGCAGGTTTTCATAATCTGCATCTTCCAAATCCTTTAAAAAATATTTTTAACAGAATTCTTTCTTTTAGTTGGAAAGGCAGATTCGCAAAGTGGAGACAAAGGTCTCCTGCCAGTTGGTTCCAGTGGTTCACTCCACAAATGGGCGCAGCAGCCAGAGCGGAGCAATCTGAAGTCAGGAGCCAGGAGCTCCTTCCTGGTCTCCCGCCTGGGATCAGGGGACACAGCACCCGGGCCTCTGCTGCCTTCTCAAGCTGTTAGCAGGGAGCTGGATGGGAAGTAGAGCAGCCGGGACTTGAACCCACAACCACATGGGATGCTGGTGCCGCAGGAAGTGGCTTTATCCACTATACCACGGTGCCAGCGCTATTTCCCATGGACTTTTCAAAGGCTCGCTCAGTCCCTCCGAAGCCAGGGATTGCTGCTTGCTGACCAGTGTGGTGGCATCAGGAGTTGGGGCCTGGAGCAGGGGTGCCGGGAGCCAGGGCCCCTCCTTGTGAACGGCCTCACACCCCTGCCCTGCCCTCTAGCCCCTCTGCCTTCCACCAGACAGCGCCCGCGCCCACCAGGCTCCCGCACAGTCTGAGCTGGGCTAGAGAGCAGGGGGCCAGGAGGAAGCGGGCATCCCCCGGGCAGCAGCTGCCTACGCGGTGGACGGCGCCCGGGGAGGTGCACCTGAGCTGGAGCCACATCACACTCAGACAGTCCATGAAGGGTGCGGGGGCACCGCGCCAGGTCTGGCCACGCCCCGGTCCCCACTGATCCCTCGTTCCAGCTATTCCCAGCTACTCCCAGCCGGGCTTAACCGGGCGCATTTGCCCCAGCAATACTCTGTGCCCGGCAAATCTCCTTCCCCACAGAGCGAGACACCCCTCGGCAAGCTTCCCAGGTACCCGGGATCCCCCACCTGCAGCCCGGCGGCTGCCCCAGCTCCAAGCTGTGTCTCAGGGCACACTGGGCCCAAAGCGAAAGCAAAGTAGGAGTTCCAGCTGTGTCTTCTGAAGAGGGAGGGGCGGGAGCCTCCTGTCGCAGCTGCCGGCCTTCCCCGGCCCTACCTGCTCACCTGCCTCAGCACCTGCAGCCGCATCAAGGAGGGAACAGCGGGCTTTCCCGGGAGGGCGCACCGGCTGATACTTTTCAGCCACACCCCACAACAGGCACACGGGGGACCCCAGGCACGGAACAGCTGCGGTGAGGCCAGAAGCAGGGGCGGGGGCGGGGTGGGCAATCGGCTCCCGGGTCCGCTATGCCCCCATCACCACCTCGGGCCCTTCCCACAGGGCCGTCCAGTGGCGCCCAGCGCGGAGACCTCGCGTGCGGCCTGCGCCCCGCGGGCTTCAGGCTCCCCCTCCAGCCCCCGGCTTACCCGACGGACAGGCACCCTTCTGCAGCTGGTGCACCGGCGTCCCCGAGAGCTGCACCGCGCGGCGGCTGGCCGCCAGCAGCGCGCACACGTTGGCATAGGTGCGCCCGTCGGTGCCGCACACGGGCTGCGCCCAGCGGCAGCGGCACAGGCCGCGGCTGCACTCCAGGCTCTCCCCGCACGGCGCGTCGTGCGTGCGGCCGCAGGGCTCGCCCTCGCTCGCGGCGCACACCAGGCAGCAGTTGCAGTGGTCGGGCACGTAGCCGCCGGGGCAGCGCGGGCTCGGGCAGCGCGACACGTCGCAGCGCGCGGGGCACGGCGGGGCGGGCGCCGCCTCGGGCTCCCGGGCCAGCGCCAGCGCGGCCAGCGCCGCCACGAGCAGCGGCCGCGCCTGCATGGCGGGCGGCGCGGGACTCCGGGCGGGACGGCGGCTGCAGCGGGCCGGCGCAGGGGGCTGCGGGCGCGGGGGCGTCGCAGCAGCCGGCTCCCCGGGCCGAGGGTCTGCGGGCGCCGGGCCCGGGCGCGTTTAAAGGAGACCGCAGCCCGCCCTCGCGGCCGGGGGCGGGCGGCCCCTCCGCCGGCCCCGCCCCGGCCCTGCCGGCCCCCGCTGGGCGCTTCTCGGGCTCCGACCCACCCTCCGGCCGGCCTGGTCCAGGAACCACGGGGCGGGGGGTGGCCGAGTCCCACGGGCGCGTGGGTAGGAGCCCCCCCATACACACACATCCCAAATAAACAAGGCGGGACTCCTCCCCGGTCCTCCCCTTCTCTGCAGGGAGCTATCCGCGTGGGGAGTGACCTGTCCTCCTGGTGCCCTGGCATTGTCCCTGGGACACTTGTCCAGGAAACGGCCCTGGACGGGTCACTGCTCTCCCAGCCATGGAGGGGGTGGTGTCCCCAGACCTGGCTGTCCCCACACCCTGATGCTGCAGGTTGCTAGCAGCTCTGTGCCTTGGGTCATCCTCCGGGCAAGGGGAGTGAGCAGGGCAGCCTGGCCCCCCGGGGTGATTGCAGACCCTCAGCCCCACACACCTGGGAGGCTGTACAGCTCCTCCCAGGCCTGCCCCCATGCCTGTGTGTGCCGTGTGTGCTGTGTGTGGGGCTGCTGGGGCGAGCCATGGGGGCTGAGGTGGGTGGAAGAAGGTGGCTGGACGCTGGCCAGCAGCCTGCTCCTGCAAGCCGACCCTCCCCTGGACGTTGGCCAGCAGCCCGCTCCTGCAAGCCGACCCTCCCTTCGGCTGCCTGGCACACAGTGGGGAGTTCCCCTTGGGGTGGCCTCCTTAGCGTGTAAGATAAAAGCCCCCTGGGTGGCCAAGGGGCACCATGGTGGGGCCCGCATGGCAGGCTGTGAGATGCAGCCACCGGCAGCCCTGGTCCCTGCCACAGGTGCCTCGGCCTGTCCAGGGTCGCACTGGCAGGCTCAGCTGCACAGCGGTGCTGAAGGCGTCAGCTGTAGCTGGAATTGGTGGAAAAAAAGGTTTTATTTTCTTGGCCAAGTTCATAGACACCCCAGTTAGAGATGAAGAGGAGGGTCCCAGCGCTCGTGTGGGCCTGGGCAATGCTACGGCACCAGGCACCCTAGGGCCCAGAGGAGCGGTGACGGTGGAGGGGTGCTGGCACACATCCCTTCCCGCTTATAGATGGTGGCGTTTAGAGGGTCTCAGTGCTGGGGCTGGGGAGCTGGGCAGCAGGGGGCAGGGCTCCGGGGGTCTGCTCCAGGATTCCTGGGCCCGGGCATGGCCCCGCCGTCTGCTGGGGCCATGTCACCCTGTAGATATGCCATGTGCAGCTGGGAAGTTCATCTGTACAGGTCCGCGTGGCGAGGCCTTGGGCTCCCAGGCCTGAGGCTGCGCAGGTACCCCCACACACGACTCAGCTGGGTGGGCACCAGGATCCTGGGAGAGAGGACAGACCCGGGCCTGTCTGCAGGCCCAGTCCACAGCCTCCCCCAAGAGCACGTCGCCCCGACACTGCTGGGCAGGCCTTTCACAGGCGGTTGGCAGGGGAATCCAAGTGGGACACATCTGTAAGGTTTGCTCCACACCAGGACAGCCATCCCAGGGTGGAGAAGGTGCGGGGTGGGGGTCTCCATGTCCCTGAAGCTCCCAGAGGCGCCTGCAGTGTAACTAGCAGGGCAGGCAGGAGGGCCGATGGCGCCTCCTGCTGCTCCCGCCCCTCAAGGCACAGACAGAATGGCCCGGAAGGAGTGGACACACGTGTCCTGCCCTCCCCCTCCACGGGGAGTCAGCGCTGCCCTTGCACCTGACCCTGGTGAGAATGAGGTCATGGCTGACATCACTTCGGGGACTTCACTGGACATCCCGACCACACCTCGCTGTGATAAGCCTTACTGCGTGCGAGCATGGGTGACTCAGAGGGTGGCCCCTGCTGGGGCCCGGGCCTGGGGTGGGGGCCATGACACAGCACAGGCCCTCAGCAGCCCCCTTCCCAGGGGACCAAGGCCCAGCCCGGCCTCGGCCCTGACCCTCCCCAAATGCCCACTCTAAGCCCCGCCGGCTGACCCCTGCCTGACACGTAGGACAAGAGGTGCGTGGGGCGGGTGGCATTGGCAAAGCCTCGGGGTGCTGGGATGCCGGGGTACAGGGGCCTAGGAGCACCCTCTCCTAGCATCATTAGCTTCTGCACAGGGCAGGGGCGCGGAGTGCAGCCCCTGGCTTCCCAGGCAAAGCCCGGCCTCGGCAGGGCTGCATGCTGGGGACTGACTCCCTGGCCATGTCCACGCGAAGGCACCAGCTGGCCCCAGGGGTGTGCAGGCACAACAGACACTCCTGGGGAGGGACGGGGCCCCCGAAAACACAGGAGCCAGGTAGGTCCATTCCCATGTCACTGCTTCTGCCGCTCCCGGTGTCCCGGGACCCTCCTGGGCTGTTCCCACAGGTGCTGGCTGCGCTGCCAGGCTCCGGTGGCTCCGAGAGGCTGGCAGCAGGCCCAGAACAGCCCTGACCTTCTCCTGGTGGGCTCAGCCAGGCAGATGCTCTGCTGGCAGGGAGACGTGTCTCAGACAGGCAACAGTCACCCCCGCTCAGCATCCCCCCAGCCTCCTTTCACATCTCCAGGGACAGGGAGCTCACCACACATCCACAGTCCCTCCCAGAATCAGCATCTGCTCCCGGCTCTGGGGACGGAGGGGTCCCCCACGTGCACCGAGCGCACAGCCCTGGCCCCTCATCGGCAGGGGCTGCCTCTGAGCTTCCCCTCTGCTGGCCCCAGAGCCACAGGGGAGGGGACCTCGGGTCAGGGGGTTGAGTGCTCCCAGCAGGGCAGGAGACAGAGGGCAGGGCTGAATCCACAACCCCGAGGCCCCTCTGGCCCCAGGGAAGCTTGCCCATGGAAGCTGGGGTCTGCAGCTAGCTCCCTGTGCAGGTGGAGAGAGGTTTATCAACTTCCCCAGGGCCACACAGCAAGTGGCTGCAGGACTGATGGGCAGGCCCGACCAGGGCACTCGTGCCTTCTGCACAGAAGCTGGCCCAAGGCAGGGCCGGCCGGCAGGGCCTGGGTCAGCCTGGGTGGAGCTGAGGAGGGCAGGGCCGAGCCGGGCGGGTCCGTGTTGGCGGCAAGCAGCCCTTCTCAGAACTCAGCACCCTCACCCAGGCGGACAAGAGGAGCTGGGCGTGAGCGCCCAGGACGGGACATGCTGTCCAGCCCCACCCGGCTCAGCTGTCCACTTGACCTCTTGACCTCGTTGCATTTGAGGAGCGACGGCTGAGGGGCGGGTCGGAGGGCTCAGTTTCCAGCCACCCAGAGAGCCTGGGAAAGGCACGGCCTGCAGGTGGGAGGAACCCTGGCTGCTCTGCCAGGTCACAGGGGCCTAGGGGACGGACGAGGGCCGGGCAGGGGCACTGCCAAACAGAGGAGGCCATTCAGTGTGCTCCCCTGGGCTCTCTGAAAGCTGCAGGTGGGGAAGGCATGTGCCCGGCCACCTGCTGTGCAGCCAAGGCTGTGCCCAGGCCCACCGCTACCCCAGGAGGGGGAGTCACTGGCCCTGGGCTTCAACCCGGGTCTGACCCCTGCCACCCGTGTTGGCAGAGAGGCCACGGGGACATTCGGGGTCAGGTGCTGAGAGTGCACAGTCACAAGGGGCTGGAGGGACTTCCAAGGGCAGCCCAAGTCCTGCCCCATGAACCCCCAAGTCCTGCCCCGTGAACCCCCAAGTCCTGCCCTGTGAACCCCACGTCCTGCCCCGTGAACCCCCAAGTCCTGCCCTGTGAACCCCCAAGTCCTGCCCCGTGAACCCCCAAGTCCTGCCCCGTGAACCCCACGTCCTGCCCTGAGAACCCCCAAGTCCTGCCCCGTGAACCCCCAAGTCCTGCCCCGTGAACCCCCAAGTCCTGCCCTGTGAACCCCCACGTCCTGCCCCGTGAACCCCCAAGTCCTGCCCTGTGAACCCCCAAGTCCTGCCCCGTGAACCCCCAAGTCCTGCCCCGTGAACCCCCAAGTCCTGCCCTGTGAACCCCCACGTCCTGCCCCGTGAACCCCCAAGTCCTGCCCCATGAACCCCCAAGTCCTGCCCTGTGAACCCCCACGTCCTGCCCCGTGAACCCCCAAGTCCTGCCCCATGAACCCCCACGTCCTGCCCCGTGAACCCCCAAGTCCTGCCCGTGAAGCCCCAAGTCCTGCCCCGTGAACCCCCAAGTCCTGCCCCATGAACCCCCAAGTCCTGCCGGGTGAACCCCCACGTCCTGCCCCGTGAACCCCCAAGTCATGCCCCATGAACCCCCAAGTCCTGCCCTGTGAACCCCACGTCCTGCCCCGTGAACCCCACGTCCTGCCCCGTGAACCCCCAAGTGCTGCCCCGTGAACCCCCAAGTCCTGCCCCGTGAACCCCCAAGTCCTGCCCGTGAACCCCATGTCCTGCCCCGTGAACCGCCAAGTCCTGCCTGTGAACCCCCAAGTCCTGCCCGTGAACCCCAAGTCCTGCCCGTGAACCCCAAGTCCTGCCCCGTGAACCGCCAGGCCTCATGGAGCATCCGCCCAGGAACAAGCCCCACTCCCTCCCCACATGTACCTGCTCCTCTCCATTCAGTAGCTCCACCCTGTTGCCTCCTAACAAGGCTGCTGGTGCTCGGCGAGTGGCGCAGAGTGGGCAGTGTGGCCTGGCGGCCTCTCCAGCCCCAGGCCAGGGGTGGGGAAGTGGGGTCCTCCCAGGCCAAGCCAGGATGCGGTGCCCAGGGCACAGTGGAGGTGACAACTGCAGCGACACAGCCCTCGCACACAAGGGGGGTCTGTGGTCTCCAAGAGGCAATGGACAGGGCATCCTCCCTGGGGCTGGAGGGCAGCACAGCCCTGCCAACGCCGGGCGCCCGTACTCCTGCCGTGGGGATAAACCCGCCCGGGCACAGCAGCCACACCCACGTCCCTGCCTCCCCGGCCCGAGTCTCC